TCATAGCCAGTATCAGTTTCTGGTACCAGTTCTCATTATTTGGACTTGAAACTCGTTTTACAAGTCCTATTTATTATTCTAGTAATTATCATGCACTTATAATAATTTTCCGGGATACTTTTTTCGAACGCATTTATACCGACTAGCAGAACCGGTATCTGCACTTTTCTTCCGAAAAGCGACTTTCAACATTCTTAATCACTTACCATAATTATTAGAGTCTCATAATAATTATTAGGGTAAAAAGAAGTCCATCATCATTCCAAGACACACTGTCTTGGTTCTTCACATAATCCAGACACTCTCTCTGAACTTGTGCCTCTTTGATCTTTTCTAACAGCTCATTCACAACGTCTGCTGCTTCCATCTTGAGAAGTACACCCTCACGCGGAGCGGTCACTGCCAAGTCTCGGAACTTCTCAACCACATCAAAGTTACCAAGTAACAAACTGGATGAGCTACTGGCTATCCGACTCAAAGCATCAGCTACCACATTGGCCTTGCCAGGATGATACCTCAGCTCGAAGTCGTAGTCCTTTATGAGCTCCATCCATCTCCTCTGCCTCATGTTCAACTCCTTCTGGTCAAACAGGTACTTCAAACTCTTGTGGTCACTGAACACCACAAATCTCAAACCAAAAAGATAATGCCTCCAAATCTTGAAAGCAAACACAATAGCAGCCAACTCCAAGTCATGAGTAGGGTAGTTCTCCTCATGAGGTTTCAACTGCCTCGAAGCATAGGCAATCACTTTGCCCAACTGCATCACCACACAACCTAGCCCCTTCCCGGTGGCGTCGGTGTAAAGCTCAATCTCAAGCGCAGGATCAGGAAGGACCAACACAGGTGCAGTAGTCAGTCTCTCCTTCAACTCCTAAAAACAAACCTCACACTCGTGAGTCCACACAAATGGAGTCTCCTTCCGGGTACGGCGAGTCAATGGCAAAACCATGGTGGAGAATCCCTTGATGAACCTCCGATAGTAACCTGCCAAACCCATAAAGCTCCTCACTTCCGTAACTGTCTTGGGTCTCTCCCAATCCAGTACGACCTCGATCTTGTTCGGATCCACTGCAACTTCTTCAGCAGAAATCTCATGCCCAAGGAACTTCACAGACTTGAGCCAAAACTCACATTTTGAAGGTTTCGCATACAGCTTCTTCTCCTTCAACACTTGCAGAACAGTTCTCAAATGCTCCACATGCTCCTCCTCCGTCTTGGAGTAAATCAAAATATCGTCAATGAAGACGATCACAAACTGATCCAGGTACGGCTGGAAAATCCGGTTCATGTAATCTATGAACACCGCAGGTGCATTGGTGAGTCCAAATGGAATCAACAAATACTCAAAGTGACCGTATCTTGAACGAAATGCGGTGTTCGGGACATCCTCCGGCTTCACCCGAATCTTATGGTATCCGGACCGGAAATCAATCTTGGAATACACGCAAGCACCCCTAAGCTGATCCAACAGATCATCAATCCGAGGAAAGGGATACTTGTTCTTGATTGTCACCTTGTTCAGCTGCCTGTAGTCGGTGCACAATCGCATTGTCCCGTCCTTCTTCTTCATAAAAATGACCGGTGCTCCCCAAGAATGGTAAATCTTAATTAGAGATTTAATTTAAGGATTTAAATGCCATAATTAGGTTCAGTGAGTGATTCCGAGTATTTTGACTGTAATCATGACTATGTTATGAACAGTGCGTTCTGTCGGAGAATTCGCAATCTTTTTAATTAACCGATAGAGCTTAAATAAGCAAAATGATTTGAGAGACATAATTTGACAATTCTGACGACAAATATGAGTTCAGAATGAAAAATTGTATAGTCTGGCACTTTCCGTGAAAATCTCGTGAATAGTGTTTCTACCAGGTATTTTGTACTGCTGTTTAAGCAACTGGTGGAGTCCAGAAATAAATAATTGATGAAATAAAAATAAGAAAGTCCAATATATGCCAAGAAAGTCAATATAGGCCCAAGAAAATGATAAGTATAAGTTTCATAAGTAAATGAAGTACAATTAGTGATTCACAATGCATTTCGTCAAAAACGGTGCAAAAATCATACTGTGAATTATGAATATTGTTTTGTAAGAATTCAAAAGTAATATAAATGATTTTAGAAAAATAAAAATATATTTGTAGCTTTGAGTTAGTTCCGGGTTAGTTTAAGTGAAAATACGCGAAAGAAAAATACCCGGGTAAAGGGCCACATGTGCTCACCTTCTTAAGTCACTTAAGTCTCATTTCCAAATCAGTTTCTCTCTCCTCTCCTCACTCTCAAAACCGAGCTGCAGCCATGGGGGAAGGGTTTGGGGTTGTCTTCTTCCTTCTTTGATTTCTCCATGGTTAAGCCACCAAATCTTCCACCCAATATACCAATCTCATAGGAAATCGTCCAAGGAAGCTATGCCACCCCTCCGTTTGAGCTGATTTCGTGTGTGGAGAGAGATACTGGTCATCTCAAGGAAGAAAAGGTGCATTTTTGAAGGAGCCTTGCTTGGAGATGTGTCTTCTAGGCTTTGGTAGTTGATTAGAGGTAACAAACCTCTATTTTCATGGTAGTGTCTTGATTATTTAAGTTATAAAATTATGAATATGCTTTGGTGGTAAAGCATTGTGTGTTAAACTTTGATTGATGATGAATCCTTGATGTTTTGGATTTAGGAAATGAAAATAAGTGTTAATATGTATGTAAAAAAATTAGAAAAAAATCCTATGCCCTCCTCTATGCTTCGGCCATGATGGGTCACATAGGGGGCATTGTGCAAAATTTTATTTGATATAGTTAGAGTGTCTAATGTGTTGGAGTGAGTATGAATTTTGTAAATTAGTGTAAAGGCCAAAGTGGGAAAAATCCTTTGTGTCTTGATTCCCTATGTTTAGGCTATGGAGAGTGGTGAGGGACTTGATGTTCAAACATTAAGTTAGAACAATATGGAAACATACATTTGTATGTGTAAGTTACATGTAATTAATAAGAAAAGAGCCCTTGCCTTTTCCTTATAATGTTCGACCTAGAGGGTAGTATAGGGGACATTTTGTCACATCTTATTTTAATAAAATGTGTTGTAATGCAATGTATAAAATGAATGAGTTAAAGAAAGTGAGATGAATTAAAAATCGTTGAAAGATATTTTGTTCTCCTCTAGGTAGGTCCACAGCCTTTTAAGGAAAGTGGCAAGAATTATATTGGAGAATTCTCAAGTGAACACTTGATTAAATTAAAGAACGCTAACGAGTATAAGGTGGTCTAGACTTGTGTATTGGCATAGGATTGGTAAAAATATAAAGAAATGAATATAAGCGATAAAATGTATGCCTTCTGTGAAAGCTAGGCATGATGACATTTTATTGATTTTGGATTGGTGGATTCTTGATCTAGGTGTACCTAGGGACTAAAAAGGATCGGAATCTCTTGAAGACATATAAGTAACTTGTGCAACAAGTAAGCGTATTGGTAAAGCTTCAAGAGGTAAGCTCTATGTTTAAGGAGTCTTTTCCTACTTGAGTGCTCCACCATGGTTAGTGAACTGTGGTTGGACTATATGATTGTTGTTGATACTCTGTATAGGTGCATTCATATAGAGTGATTTGATGATATGATTTGATATAATATGATATGATTTGATATGAGACGATATGATATGACTGGGTATGATATGAGTTCTATATTGACTTCTCGTACACTGATGTCTTCTTGGGGTTTTTCCTGAGATTGACAATGTACACCTCTGAGATACTCTGGTTCCGCTTGGGGTCATCCCTTGGGAACACGTGCGTTGAATTCCGCTTGGGGTCATCCCTTGGGAATTACAGCGCACACCTCTGTTATGATATGGTTATATGTTCTGTTCTGTTATGATATCTGTTATATGTTGTACTGGTATACTCTGTATCTGACTTTCATGCAGGAGTGAGCCAGAGGTATGGAGGATTCTCTATAAACCTGGAGCTTACTGAGATTTGAAATCTTACCCCTCGTTGGGGCAACATTTTCAGGTGCACAGACTTCCGGTGAGCCTTCGTTAGGCAGGGAGACGACACGGGGCTGAGACATTTGACGGATCAGTATTTTGAGTAGCTCTAGGCTACTAATTTTTTTGGAGTGTACCTATGTATTTCGTATTTCCGTAGTGATGGATCATTATGTTAGATCCTGTATTTTGTATATGGCCTTTATATGTCTTGTACATGTCATTCAGTTGATGCATGTACCTTTTGTATTCAGGCATGTTGATAGGACTATGTAGTATTCAGTTATGTTTCTGTATTAGACTGCATGCTATTAGATTAGTGGCACAGAGCCAATTTCTGCATGCGCCCATGGATGGGTATCTGATTATATTGCATGACCGGTACTTCTGAATATGAATATTATTGAAACTGTCTATCAGGAACTCTTGGGAGTGGGATTGGAAAATCCCCAGTTGTCCGATTTACAGAGGTTACTCTGTCCGACTTTTGGTTATGCTTTATATGAAGTTAAGAAGAAAACTAAAAAGTTAGCCCGTATTTCCGTAAGATAAGTCTTCCGCTGTATCTGTTTATATCATATGTATGTTAATTGAACCGGCTCGAGACGGGGATGTTACATCTATGGTATCAGAGCAGTTTCTCTAGGAGAGCCTGTGAAATATTGCATAAATTGTTCGGGTTATTATGTTCTAGAGTGTTTTCCTTGGAGTACTATGATATGCATGTCTGATCACTGCGTGTGAGCGTAGCTAACTCATTCCTTTGTGTGAAATATGCAGAATTATGGTTCGCCCAAGAAGGACTCTGGATCCTCCTATGGACCCGACAAATCCAACTATAGCTGATTTGGCTAGGCCACGTGTAACTCAGCGAGGTGGTTCTTTACAGCTAGATCCAATGATAACGGCCTTAACTGAAATGCAGCAAAATATGGATGCAGCTAGGCAGCGAGAGTTGGAAGTAATGATGAAAGCAAATCAAGATCTGATAGAGGCTAATAGGTTGGCCAATCAACAAATGATGGAAGCAAGCAAACTGGCAAATGTTGAAATGATGAGATTACTATTGGCTGAAGTAAGGGCTGGTGGACAAGGTCCACAGCAACAGCCACAGCCACAGCCACAACCACAACAGCATGTTCCTCCTCCTGAAAATCCCATTGTGGTGGAGGGTGAAGGAAATAATGATATGAATGAAGAATCTAGTCACAGGGGTGGTGTGGCACAACCAGCCACTAATAGAGAGCAAAGAGAAAGAATGCTTAATCCCTTCCGAAAACATGCACCACCAAATTATAAAGGAGGCATTGATCCTATTGCTGCAATTCAGTGGTTAGAAGAATTGGATCGCATTTTTACTGTCATGGAGTGTGATGATCAGCAGAAATTGTTGTATGCTTCTTATATGTTACAGAATGATGCAGCTGATTGGTGGAGAAATACCCGTCTGCCCTTGGAATGTCAGGGTTATGCTATTACCTGGCCTTTATTTGAAAGGCAATTCTTGCTGAAATACTTTCCGGCTGAATCCCGGATAAGGAAGAAGGGTGAATTTGAAGAACTAAAGCAGGGTCAGATGTCTATTGATGAATACTTGAATAAGTTCAATAAGCTGGCCAAATACTCTCATTTCCAGAGAGCTCCACCTACAGAAGATGACTTGATTTTTAAATTTCATAGAGGATTACATGATAACATCTCTGAAAAACTTGCAGGTGACTCATTTGATACTTTTGCTGCACTTGTTAAAAAGTGTAAAAATATTCAAGAATATTACAGAAGAAAGCACAAGGACCAAGCAGCTTCTAATTCTGGTCCTAAAAGTAATACTGGAAATTCTAAGGGAAAAGGTTTGCAGGTGAAGCAGTCTGATGGTAAGTTCAAGAAGATAGGGAATTCAAAGCAGGGGAATTTTAAATCTGTTCCTCAATGTGCTATCTGTGGAAGAGCCCATGCAGGGGTCTGCAGGAAAGAAAAAGGTCTTTGTTATAAGTGTGGTCAACCCGGGCATTTTATAAAAGACTGCCCTTTTAGTGGGGGACAGGTTTCTGCAATTCAGGCTACCCCGGCCCCTATGATGATTGAGGAGCCATCTCTACCTCTCCCACCTCCTACTGCCCGAGTGTATGCAGTGACTCAGCCAGAGGCTGAGAAATCCTCTACTTTGGTGCGAGGTATGATTTCTATTAAAGATGAACTGCTTAGTGTATTATTTGATTCTGGTGCCACACATTCTTTTATTGCTGATTATGTAGCCGACGCATTTGGTCTGCCTTTGACAATAATGAAAACTCCTATGCGTATTGTTACGGCTGTGGGGAATGTTTTTAATGAAAAGTATATTTGTGAAGATGTGAAATTCAAGTATGAAGGCAAGGAGTATTCTGCCGATTTTATTGTTTTGCATCTTGCATCTGTAAATCTGATTTTGGGAATGGACTGGTTGTCTAAATACTGTGTGAAGATTGACTGCTGCAGTAAAACCATTTCTGTTTCATCTCATGATGAAGAAGGGAAGTCTCCTTACTTATCTGTACTTCGGGTTATAAAATCCTTAAAGGAAGGAGATTCTGGGTTTATTATGTTAGGAGGTCTGGTAGGCGCCATTAAGGAGCCCATTTCTGGTATTCTGATTGTCTCTGAATTTGAGGATGTCTTTCCGAATGAAATTCCGCACTTTCCTCCAGAGAGGGAAATTGAATTTGCAATTGACTTATTGCCTGGTGTGGGACCTATCTCTCTTGCCCCATACCGGATGTCACCTCTGGAATTATCTGAATTGAAGAAGCAGATTGAAGACTTATCCAGTAAAAAATTTTATTAGGCCGAGTGTGTCTCCTTGGGGAGCCCCGGTGATCTTTGTTAAGAAGAAGGATGGGTCTATGAGATTATGTACAGACTACCGGCAGTTGAACAAGGTTACTGTTAAGAATAAGTATCCTTTGCCGCGGATAGATGATTTGTTGGATCAGTTGCGGGGTGCGACTGTATTTTCTAAGATTGATCTCTGGTCCGGGTATCATCAGATCCGGGTAAAGCCGGATGACGTTCCGAAGACAGCTTTCAGGTCCCGTTATGGGCACTATGAGTATCTGGTTATTCCTTTTGGGCTTACAAATGCACCAGCCGTTTTCATGGGTTATATGAATCGGATCTTTAAAGCCTATCTGGATCAGTTTGTGGTGGTCTTTATAGATGACATACTGATATATTCAAAGAGTAAAGAAGAGCATTCTGAGCATCTAAAGGTTGTTTTGCAGATTCTGAGAGAGCATCAGTTGTATGCTAAACCGTCAAAATGTGAATTCTGGCTTTCTGAGATACAATTTCTGGGCCATGTCATCTCATCTGAAGGAGTGGCAGTGGACCCGAGCAAGATTGAAGCAGTGGTAGAATGGGAACGTCCTAAAAATGTTACAGAGATCAGGAGTTTTCTTGGTTTGGCTGGATATTATAGGCGTTTTATTGAGGGATTCTCACGGATGGTTTTACCTTTGACACGGTTAACCCGTAAAGGGAACCCATTTGTGTGGACCCAAGAATGTGAAGTGAGCTTTCAAGAGTTAAAAAGGAAGTTGACTACAGCTCCGGTATTGATATTGCCGGATCCTACAAGTAAATTTGTGGTGTATTGTGATGCTTCTAAGTTTGGGTTAGGCTGTGTGTTAATGCAGTTCCGTCAGGTGGTCGCTTATGCTTCTCGGCAGTTGAAACCGCATGAGGAGAATTATCCGACACATGATCTTGAGTTGGCAGCCGTAGTGTTCGCATTGAAAATCTGGCGACACTTTCTATACGGGGCCGATTTTATTGTCTACAGTGACCACAAAAGTTTAAAGTATCTGTTTGATCAGAAGGAGCTGAATATGAGGCAACGCCGATGGGTGGAATTTCTGAAGGATTATGATTTTGAATTGCAATATCACCCTGGTAAAGCCAATGTAGTAGCTGATGCTTTAAGCAGAAAGGCGCTTGGTATGGCCAATTTGATGATTTCCGAGTATAATTTGATTGAGAAATTCAGGGATCTCCACATTCCTGTGAATACAGAAGATAGTCCGCATTTATTGACTACTACGGTAGTCCTGAATTCATTAGTTGAGCGGATTAAAGAAGCTCAATTGCTTGATGAAGAGATTCAGTCTATGAAAGAGCAGGACTTTGTGTCCACTGATAGGTTCGGTCTTAAGTTTTACAAGGATCGGATCATTGTTCCAAAAGGTCAGATGGTAGATGAGGTATTGACTGAGGGTCACATGGGTAAGTACACTATCCATCCTGGTGCTACCAAGATGTACCAAGACTTGAAACGAAATTTCTGGTGGTCGGGAATGAAGAAAGACATTGCTCTATTTGTGAGTAAGTGTTTGACATGTCAGAAAGTTAAGATTGAGCATCAGAGACCTTCTGGATTACTGCAGCCCTTGGATATTCCGGAATGGAAATGGGTCAGTATTTCTATGGATTTTGTAGTGGCATTACCGAGAACTCAGGCTGGTTTTGATTCTATCTGGGTAGTTGTTGACAGATTGACAAAGTCTGCACATTTCATACCAGTTAAAACGAGTTTCTCCACAGAGCAGTTGGCTCGGATATATGTAAGAGAGATTGTGAAACTTCATGGTGTTCCTGAAAGTATCATTAGTGATCGGGACCCTAAATTTACTTCTAGACTTTGGGATGCAGTGCAACAGGCCTTCGGTACACAGCTGAGGCTGAGCACGGCTTATCATCCCCAGACTGATGGTCAGACTGAGAGGACTATTCAGACCCTGGAGGACATGTTGAGGGCTTGTGCCTTAGAGCAGGGAAATGCATGGGATAAATATCTTCCTCTGGTGGAATTTTCCTACAATAATAGTTATCATGCCAGTTTGGGCATGGCTCCCTATGAAGCTTTGTATGGCCGTAGGTGCAGGGCGCCTACTTGTTGGTCAGAAATTGGTGAGAGGCAGTTATTTGGGCCTGATATGGTCCAAGAGACTACCGATCAAATTATGATGATTAAGGATCGATTGAAGAAAGCACAGAGTCGCCAAAAGAGTTATTATGATGCAAAGCATCGACCCCTTGAATTTTCAGAAGGGGATCATGTATTTATCCGTTTGTCTCCGACTACGGGTGTTGGGCGTGCTCTAGGAGTGAGGAAGTTGAGTCCTAGGTTCATTGGGTCCTACCAGATTATGAAAAGGGTCGGACCTGTGGCTTACCAGCTTGCCTTACCTCCACATCTGTCAAATTTGCATAGTGTTTTTCACATCAGTCAACTTCGAAAATACGTGCCGGATGAATCCCACATTTTACAACCGGACAATATCGAAGTAAGAAAAGACTTGAAAAAGGATTAACTCCTGAGGACGCTACTTGGGAGCGGGAGAATGAGATTCTCCAGCAGTACCCTGAGTTTGACGTCAGGTATATGTTATATTTGATATT